TACCACTTCATCCATTGCCCACCACTTAAGGCTCGTGACATATGATCCACGTCTTTATTCATTAAGTATTTTGAGTTTTTGATAAAGAAAAAGAAGTTTGAGAAAAAAGTCGCTTGACAAAGTCAAGGTTTATTATGAATGTGGTTAAAGTTTGAAAAACGAGAAGGTTTTGAAAGTTGAAGAATGGAAAGGAGATGAAGAGACTATTCTATGTACAAGAAAACAAAAGATAGGTAAGAAAGGTCTGATCAAACAAGAAGCTGACACTTGACATGATAAAATCAACATAGAATTTTCATCCTTTGAATTAAAGCCACAAGCAAAGAATAAACTAAGAGTATACCAAGCATCGGGTGAAAATAAATCACAAGCAGAAAGTACATCAGATAAATTCAAGATATCAGATAAGGCTCAAAGCATCAGATGATCATCAAGATATCGGATAAGAATCCTTGCATCAGATGAAACTCCAAATAAACACACAAAACTAGAATACTAGAGAAATAATCCAAATGTATCGTATGAAATAAGAACTCAAGTCCAAATGAGTTAGAACCATGTAACAGAGCTAAATGAACAAATGAAATATGAAGTGAATGTTTAACCAATTAATCAAGAGTTGATTAATTTAATTAATTAGTTTAAGAAAAATTAATTAGCAAAACTGTTACACCATAAAATTTACCCTCTTCTTTTTAATTCTAATTGGTTTATGTTTCTCATTTCAACAACATAACATACACTCATATGTTGCATCAGTTATATGGTTATGGGATCAAGGTATCTTGTTTTAGTGGATTTTCTTCAATAAAAAAGAAGAGTGATAAGGTCCAAAGCAAGAAGATTTAAGGCAATCCAAGCATGATGACTCCTTTTCGTTACCACAGTTCTGCCCCAGACATTCTTGCGTCAAGCCATTCATATCACAATTTAACTGTACATGCACCATCTCTGTAAATTCGACGTTGGGTAGGCTTTCGGTTCATTCTAAAGCCCGAAGGTTGAGTTTTGTGTATCTCAGATATTTTTGGCACTTTAGGTGACTTTGTGGACCATGCTACGATCTTCATAATAAAATTTTTGTTCTACAGGCAGACCAGTAAAATCGTTTCAACACTATGCAGAAAATTAACAGGTAAAATATTTCGAGTTTCGATCTCTATCTGATTGTTTTTTGACTCTACGTTGCGCGTAGATCATGTTAGTGTGTTCGATTTATTTTTGCGGTACAGTTTATTGTCTCTTTGGTGATCGTCAATGTCTATTCAGTTGGGTATTTCTCGTTTTATTTTATTTTTGACTTTTTACCTTCGTTTTATTTTCGCCGTATTTTTTATTTATCTTCGTGATTGATAGATATTTTTAATGTGTTCATTTTCTTGTTTCGGTTCAGTATTTGTGTTTAGTATATCATTTTTCGTTATTTTAGATTTTGTTTTTTTATTTCGGAAAATTAAAAGAAAAATATTTTTAGATAGATTTATTTTTACCCATTTGATTTTTTATTTTTATTTTGTTATTGAGAATATTTTTGGTATTTATAAATATTTTGCTAACCTCATTGATTTTTTGTATATAATTAGAGTTATGTTTTAAGCAAGCTACAGTAGAACGAAGAAGTAGCACATTTAGAAATAGAGAACTCAGATCTACAGTAACGAAGCTGCAAGGAAGCATATTTGAAATTCAAATTGAGATCTAAACACAGAGGCACTTCCGAAACGGTGCTCTTCCTTTCCCTCCATCTCACCGTGACAATTCCGACACGCCACTGTCAGCTGTGAATCCGTACCGGTCCCGTCCAGCAACCGCATACTCCCTCCGGCGTGTTCTCTCTTATACGTGATGCCTTCTTCCACAGCTCCCTCCACCACTATCTTGATTTGGTACTAATTTCATTTCATTATCACTATTTTGCTTAGTTTAATTTGTAGTATTGTCTTGTTAAATTGAGATGGTGAATTTGTTGATGATGATATTGTTGTGATGTTGGTTCATTAATGATATTTTTAATGAGTTTAGTTTTGAAATTGATAGTGATGACATTGTTTTGTTAATGGTGTGAGAATTAATGTGTTATTGTTGTGGATTTGGTAGTAAAATGACATGGTTATGTTAATCTTTACATTGTTTTTGCAAATGATTTGAATGAATTAATGGTGAGGTTGATGTCAATTTGAGTTGAAATGATGAAGCTAATATCATATTGATGTTGATTATGTCTTGAAATTGATATTTGAATTTTGTAATGAACATTAAGGTGTTGAAGTTGTTGGTTAACCTTAACATGTTTATGATTGGAAGGCTAATTTTGTGAGGATTTTTTATTGTAAATTTCGTATAATTTGAGTGATTTCGGGTTAATTTTGAAGGTATCAGTGTCTAACTCTAAATCAGTTTTAATGATATTTTTTGGACTTCTATAGTAATTCGAAATTGGTTTTGATTGAAAATCATTTGGTTTAGCTTATTAATTTCATTTTCTCTTTTGTTTGGAATTTATTTGAGATGAATTTTCAACACTTTTGATTCATGTGTAGTTGCTGTCCGGAATGTGATTTAAGTGATTAAAGCTTGTTCCGGAGTTTGGTTTTCATGCTTTGAAGTTGAATTGAGTCATAATTTGAGTTAGTGCTATTTAAATTTGTTTTTTTAATGATATTTTTGAGCATCAGTGTTGACCCGTAAATCAATTTGATTGAGAGTTCTTTCGATTTTGGGTATTGGGCTTATTTTCTCTCGTCCTGAACTTATTTGAAATGAGTTTTTAAGCGCTAATTTGGCGTTGTTTATTGTTGCCTGAATATTAATTTGAATGATAAAACTTTGATTTAATTTTTGTTTTGCTCATTTTTGAAGCTAATTTGTATATATCATGAGTTTAGTTCTATATGACTTTGGTTTTGATTTTTAGAATGGAAATTGGTGCTCCTAATGTTGTTTAAAGTGTGTTGCAAAATTTGAAACTCTCATTAAACTTTTGGTTGCTAATTATCTTGCCATGTCTCTTGTTAATTCACAAATGGATTTAATTGCCAATTTGATTCATGTGTTTGTTTTACTACTACATTCACTCATGTATGTGATTCTTTGGTTGAGGGAAATATGTTATTATCCATTAATTTGATGCAAGTTCTTGTTTGTCGCTTTTAATCCCTCTTGTTATTACTAACAAGTTTGCTATTGTGAAGATTTCCAAGGATGGTTCAAGCGCTCATTTCCTCTCAACATCTCTTTGTTGCTTGTTAAATTAATTAATTCGACATTCACTTCTTATTCCATTTAGCTCGGTTTTGTCTGGTTGCGATATTTTTCATCTGATGAAGGATTTGGAATTCTTATTTGATACCTCAGATTTATCTGACGCACTTTCTACTTGCCATTTATTCTTACTCGATGTTGATCATTGACGTGATCTTTATGCATTTGAATACTAATTCGATTCTTTGTTGGTGAAGCTTCCACGAGGATTCTTGAGTTTAGCACACATTGAAAAGGCAACAGACCTTCTCCGTTTGGTATTCCTTGAGATCTCTTTACTATCTCTTTCTTGCATCGTTTTCAATTATTCTTTCCATTAGAAGTAGCATAGAGATGCATGACTAGAAGTCATACCGTCGTAGGCAATGTTTGATTTGGAAGTCCTACATTTGTAGGTCATGTTATTGGTGTAGCTAGCTCATTTATGCGTTTCATTTGTGCCATAGTGCCTAGTCGTGTACTTGAGGTCAATTTTGTGGAAAGAGCTCGTATTCGGCTCCCACGTGAAAGTCCAATGGGGACAATGGTCTTTGGTTTCGTTTTGAGGAGACATAGCTCACGTTTCATTTACGTTGATGCTTCGAGTCATATTCCGTTGTCGTGTAGTTAAGGTCAATTTAGTGGAAGAGAACTCGCATTCAGCTCCCACGTGAAAACCCGAATGGGATAAATGTCTTTTTGTTTCTTCATCTCCCTAATGCATGTTTACATTGAATCTCTTGTTCATTTTTATCTCATCTTATTCACCCTGTCCTTTATCTTCTGACTTACTTGTTAGCACTTCTTGCATGAGGACTTGTGTCCACTTAAGGTTGTTTGTGACTTCTTGGTTGTGTATTTTGATTGTGGTTTTTTTCTCAAGCATGTTTATGTGTGTTTGTTGCTTTAATGCTTGCTTGGTTAAGTATGTATGCTTTAGGTATCTTGTTTAAGTTCCTATGTTGTGAGTAAATGGTTACTTCTAATATGTATGTGTGTTTGCTTTCATATCTTGTTTAAGTATGTGATTGTCTATCTCCTATTCTTTTTCCTTGTGAGATTGCATGCTCCCCATAGGATGCCTTTGGTTCGTTATTGTTCAAGTTTGAAGTAAAGTAGACCCTAAGATTGTTATCCATGTATGACAATATTAGGTAGATCTCCCCTTGTTCCAACTATAGGTCCACAAACATGACAACAAGTAGGATTGTGATCCCCTTTTGTTAGTTTTTTTCTCTTTTGCATTCATCTAAAACTAAAACTTTTTCTTCTTCTCAAAAACTCAAAACATTTAACAATAAAGAGGTGAGTCATGTGTCACGAGCCTTAAGCATGTGTGGAGCACTCTGGATACGAGGCGTCTGACATGACCATCCAAAGTCTCTCATGTCGTAGTCTTTAATGTGGTTCAAATCACCAAATCCTTTTTCAAGGTAAAAAATACTCAACCAATCAAACTTTTTTGGGGCTTTTTCTTTTGAAAACTTTCAAAAAGGGCATGCTTGTCAACATTGTTCATAAAAAACACAACAAACCAAAACACTTTTTTAGATGAACTACGAGTGCCCTAATCTCTCATTGCACGAAGAGGGTACGTAGGCACAAAGGTTCGCAACTGCGACAGACACAACTAATAAAAACCTTCATTTTGTATATACTCTTGCATGCATTCCCTTAGCATTAAATTTTAGATTTTTACACACCCTTTGATTAGAACAAACTTGAGTGGATCCTATGGAGTACAACAGATGTGAGGAGTGCTAACACATTCCCCTTGCATAATCGACTTCCTTACTCTTTCTCTTGGTTGCGAGACCGTGTTCTTTCCCTTCTTTAGGTTTATTCAATACTTCTTTTCCCTCTCTTGGGATAAATAACATTGATGACGACTCTCCTTTTGCCTCCTTCGCGTTTGATATTTTTTCGAGATGCGATAAAAACTAATTAATTTTTAACAACAATATCAACTAATTAAATCAACACTTGATTAATTAATTAAAAGCAACAAAGTGTGTAAAGAGGGAGTGAGCACTTGAGATATCTTTGGAAGCTTAGACAAACCACAAACTTGTTAGCAACACAAGAGAGAGTGTAATGAATAAAGAAACTCGCATTAATTTACATGTATTAGTAACCCGATTTTTCAACCAAAATCACCATACATGTTGAGTGAAAGAAGAAAGCAAGGAAACATAGTTTAGGACACACTTAGCATCAATTGTGAATTAACAAAGCAAGTGGTAAAAACAATTAAGTCTCAAAAACAACTTCAAGCACTTAATAACTTCAATTATCTTATTTTAAACCAACTAAAACCTAAATCAATTAGCAAAATCTCAAGGTATACTCAAATCAACTTCAAAGCATGAAAATCAAGTTTCGAAATAAACTTTAATTACCTAAACCAAAATCCGGGCAGCAACTCAACTTACACAAAAAGACTAAAAAAATATCAAATCAAATAGGTTCGAAACAAATGTGAATAAATCAATATCAAAACCAAATTTATCATTCAAAATCAACACCAATAACACCAAAAATGTCATCAACAATTCTTAAATTAATTAAATAACACGGTATCGACATCACAACTCATTAAGTCATAACATTATCAAACTTCATCATTTAACTCAACATAAACAACACAATAACATCATCACAATTTCATCATCAATTTGACATAAACAATATGTTATTACTATAAAAAAAAACTATCTCAATTTACCACAAATAAACACATTGACAACATCACAACCTCAACACAAATTAACACAAATAATTACAACCTCATCATTTAACACAAATAATACCACAATCATCAATTAAAAACTTCAATTAAGTTAACTCAAGTAACATGGTATTATCATCAAAGCTCAATATTCAATTTAACATAAATAACCTATTATTACTAACACAACTTCAACATCAATTTTGACACACATAAACATAACAACATCAATTCTAACATCAATAATCAGCCAGAAATTAAATTAAACAAATAATGATAGTAAAGTTTACCGACCCACAAAAATGGAAGTGGTTGTTGGAAGTGAAGAAATTGATGTTGCAGAAGTGTGAGAACTGGGCAGTGGTTTGCGTGGGATGTTGAAGAAGACCGATGGGTAGTGGTTACGTTACGGATACAGGCGGATGGTAATATGCAGACAGAAGGGGAGCGTGGGTCTGAGATGGGTTTCGTGATGGAAGAGCTGAGCGTATCAGCGTGATGGGTGTTGGAAGGTTGAACGGTGTTATGCAGATAGAAGGTATGAGCAGCCCGGAAACTGGGTTGTGGTGGAGGTGGGTGTCGTGGGTGATGGGATTCAGGCGGAGGAAGTTGAACGTAAATGGAAGGTGGGTGTTGATTCTGTGCGGTGACAGAGGGAGGAACGTTGGTTCGTGAGGGAGGTGAGAGAGAGAGATGAAGATCTCTCTGTGTTATTTCGTTTCTGGTTTTCAGATGATACTCCCTTCTCAACGATACTCTATCTTATCTCTTTTTTAGCAAATCTTTTTAATGGCCAAAAAAATCCTTTTGGATAAAATTGACCTAATTAAAAGAACAAGAATAAATACATTTAAAAATATTTTTATTTTTATTTTTTCTGAATAAAAAAGGACATCCAAAATAATTAAAAACGGTAAAAAATAAATATTTAATTAATCGGAAAAAAAATGGACACATTAAAATAAACTACGATCACAAAGGTTAATAAAAAATAATGCAAATGATCAAAATAGAAAATAAAACTAAAATAAAAATACTCTGATGAACAAACACTGACAATTAAGAAAGAGACTGCAAACTATATCGAAAAATAAAGCAAGCACACTGACATGATCTATGCGCATTACAGATTCATAAAATAGTCTGTTGAAAATGATAACTCAAAATATTTTACCAGTTAATTTTCTACACAATGTTGAATCACTTTTAACATTCTTCATGTAGAACTGAAATATCAATATTATTGAAATATAATCAACTTGCCGCAATGCATTAAGCAGTGCAAAGAGATAAAAATGCATGAAGTGAGATATTAGATATTTTTAACTCAAATGATGCAAATGATGATTTAAGTTAACTTTTGGTCAACCTAAATGCATGAACGATCGACTAATGATGCAAACGCAATGAACGAGTGACCCTGGGGCAAAATTGGGGTATGACATATGGAAAGGAATCTATTAATCCTGAAGAAGACTAGGATGAAAATGATGATAAAGAAGTCATTAGAAATTTCAAGGCTTTAAATGCTATATTCAATGGAGTTGACAAAAATGTGTTCATGCTGATTAATACATGTACTGTAGCCAAGGATGCTTGGGGAATTCTCAAGACAACTTATTATGAAGGTTCCTTAAAGTGAATATTTCAAGACTTCAACTTATCACTTCCAAATTTGAGAACTTGAAGATGAATGATGATGAGACAATTCAGGAATATCATATAAAGATTCTTAAAATTGCTAGTTCATCAAGTGCCTTGCGAGAGAAGATGTCAGAAGCAAAGCTGGTCAGAAAGATTCTTAGGTTATTGCCTAGAAAATTTGACATGAAGGTCACATCTATTGAAGAAGCTCGGGACATCAACAACATGAGAGTTGAGGAATTTATTGGGTCACTTCAAACATTTGAATTTACTATTGGTGACAAGACTGAGAAAAAGAACAAAAGCTTAGCTTTTGTATTCAATGTTGAAGATGATAAAGGTCAGTCTGAGCTGGACACTGATGATGATCTTTCTAATACCATTATGCTACTTGAGAAGTAATTCAATAGGGTATTAAAAATATTGGACAGAAGAGGGAGGCCAGATGTCAAGAACATCTCATATGACATCAATAATAATCTTGAGAAAACAAGATCAGAAGATAAGTTAATTCAAAGAAGAGGCATTCAATGTTTTGTATATGAAGTATATGACCATATTAGACCTGAATGTCCTAACTTCCTCAAAAAACAACAGAAGGGTTTCACTGCATCTTGGTTTGATGATGATAAGTCGGAAGATGAAGATAATTTTGAAACTGCCAAACTTGTATTGGCTCTATCTAGCAGATGGGAAAATGAAGTTGAAGCTTGTGATGAGAATGATCTTTATGAAGACCTGGATGAGTTCTACAAGGATACTTGTGACAAGTGTGAAGAAAGCCTCAAGAAAGAGGAAGAGAAAAAGAAGATCATTGTTGATTTGGAAAATGAAAGGCAGCAACTCCTAAGTATTGTTTCTCATCTACAAACTGAGGTAACACGCTTAAATTCCAAGCTTGATAACTTGACTGATTCCATAAATAGGATGAAAGAGGGTGAAGATACTAAAGTTAATTATCAATATGATAATAAACTGAGGAGAATTTCAGAAGAGAAGGTCTTTCCTTTTGAGAAAAATAAAGAGATCAACATGTCCAAGCACATGTTACAACATCCTGGAAGAAATAGTGAATTTTCAAATCAACCTCAGTCTACTTGGAGATGTCACTTTTGGGGTGAGTCTGATCATATAAAGCCTTTTTACTTCAAATTGTATGGAGATAAAAAAATATTCAGTCTGTTCTAGGCAAATAAAGTGCGCAAGCAGAGATGCATTGAAAAGAGGGGTATTAAACTTATAGCTCATACTTCCTTGAGAGGCTTAACTAGTGAAGAATGATACTTTGATAGTGGATACTCTAGACATATGACAAGAATCCAGAAGATGTTGGTGGATGTCAAACATTATTCTATAGGTTTTGTTAGATTTTGTGATGGGTTTAACAGAGAAATCAGAGGAGTTGGAAAGCTGATGTGTGATTATTGTTCCAGGTTAGAAGATATGTTGTTTGTCAAAGGATTGACTGCTAATCTTATTAGCATTATTCAAGTGTGTGACCAAGGTTTATTAGTCAACTTCTCAAAATCAGAATGTTTGGTTAAAGATGAGGAAGAAGTTGTTCTAATGAAAGGGATAAGGTCCAAAGATAACTGTTATTTATGGGAATCTCAAATAGTTGCTTACTCTTCCACATGTTCAACAAACAATGAGGATGAGTTAAAGCTATGACACCAAAAACTTGGACATCTTCCTTTCAAAAGAATGAAGTAAGTCACATCTGAAGGCGTCATTAAAGATATGCCAGAGCTCAAGATTGAAGAAGGAGAAGTTTGTGATAAGTGTGAAAGTAAAAAGAAAATCATGATGTCACACTCAATGTTGCAACGTCAGATTACTTCCAAAGTTTTGGAACTTCTTCATATGAATGTAATGAGAATATTACAGATAGACAACCTAGGAGGAAAAAGGCATGTCTTTGTGATTATAGGTGAATTTTATGGATATACTTGGATAATGTTTCTTAGAGAAAAGTCAGATACCTTTGAAGTCTTCAAAGATTTGTGTCAAAACATTCAGGAGGAAAAGAAAAGTATGATTGTCAATGTCAGAAGTGACAATGACATGGAGTTTAAGAATATGAAATTTTCTGAATTTTGTGATTCTGAAGGAATAAGCCATGAGTTCTCTTATTCTTGGAAAACTCATGGAAATGGAATTGTTGAGTAGAATACTAGAGTCATACAGGAATCAGCTAGAGTCTTGCTTAGTGCTAAGTAAATTCCATTTGAATTTTGGGATGAAGCTATGAATATTGCATGCTATATTCATAACAGGGTCACTTTGAGATGAGGTATTGTCACTACTCCCTATGAGCTATGGAAATGAAGGAAACCTAAAGTCAAATACTTTCATATATTTAGAAGTAAATGTCAGATCTTTGCTGATAAAGATCAAGTGGACAAGAAGGATCCCATGGGGGATAAAGAGATATTTATGGGTTACTCGTCAAGCATAAGAGCTTATAGAGTTTATAACTCTAGAACTGGAATGACAATAGAATCTATCAATGTCAAAATTGATGATTCAATTACTATAGAGAATATGGATGTCACAGACAATGTTGGAACATCGTATGTGCAAATTATTGAAAAACTAAGAGAAGAGATTTGTGAATTCACAAACACTGAGTTAGTGAATTCTCAATCCAGTAAAGATCTGTCTATTGAATGACAAATAGAATAATCCAGGGAACTGACTGCAAGTCACCCTGATAAAGGTAACATCACTGAAGTTAAATAGAAGATATCAAATACAGATAGGTGTATTACCTTGAGGGAAACAAGAGGAAGTTTCTATGAACTGGTGTTGAAGAGATATGATGTCGAGAAGGATGTCATGACATTTCATAGTGAAGATCTCAGTTCTTTCAGATATCTCGTTCAATATGGCTAGAACAAGGACCTTGGTAGTTGTAAGAAACTGATCAAGAATCTTATTGAAGAGAAGGTTGTGACTATGGAGCATATAGATAACAAGGAACAACTTGCTGTTATCAAAAACAGTGGGATTGGAACTTGTACTATTAAGGAGTTATAACAATTATAGAAATGGAGGAATGCAACTAGTGTTTCATCTTTTCTATATACTCTGAGGCATGACATGCCTGGACAAATTACTACTAAGAAGGGATAGAATGAAGGTATTCTGCAAGACAGTGGGGTTGGCTACATCACCAAGAGATGCAGAAATATCTTTGATAATGACAAGAGGCTCTTTGATAGAGTCAAGAGGTGGATGACCACCTGAAGTTGGCCAAAATGTTTTGTTTCCATCTATTTGTTTCCATCTGGTGCTCATGATTGGTGATTCTCCTGTTTGATTCCATTTGTAGTTGTGTAGCACCCTTAAGTGTGATTGGTTCTTATGTGTGTTTCCATATGTGGTATTGCTTTTGTGCAATATGTTGGTCTATAATGCTCCCTGTGTTTTCATTTGTGTTATTGCATGGGAGAAATATGTTCTCATGTGATACGTGTTTCCACTGTGTATATTTACTCTATTTGTTTTTGTTAATATTTTGGCTAAAAAGAGGGAGTAAAGTGTTGTGTTCTAATGATTCATCACATGTCTTGACATGTTGATTTATCATTGTGATATGATTGTGTGCTACTGCTTTTGAGAGAGTAGTTGTTTGTGGTTTCTCATGCACTATTAAGGGGGGCATGATTGTTTATGCTTGTTTGTGCTGAAGCTACAACTGCTGCTTTTGTTGTTCCGCTCCATGTGCTTTGATGTGTGGAGTTTTCCCTTGAGGGGGAAGACTGATTGTGTATGACATGGGGAGTACTGTAACATGTCTGATTGTACAAGTTTCTAAGTTGTGTTGTGTTTACAGAGTTTACATGATTTCATGTAACTTGTGTTTGTGGTTATATTCCTCTCTCCAAGTTAATTGGCCTTTGGTTGTTTTATCCAAAATTTGCCAAACGGAGAGATTGTTAGGTCTGCGAATTTATGGTTGACAACAATTTCGATAAAACAAATAGTTGACAACAATTTTATCAAAACATGTTTCATTGGCTAAAACATGTATTACAACCTAATGTTAAGCAAAATGTCATAACATCTTGACCAACTGGTACATCAGAGTCTACTGGTGCTTATTTGACAGA